GCAGATGCACTCTTCAAGCGAACAAAAATCAGCGCACACGAGAAAGCCGAAGTCGTGTTGTCCTCCGCCCGGACAGCAACAACCGCCGAAACAAAGACACGCCTGAGGAGATCCAGCCCAGGGGCTGGCGTGCGTGAGCGAGACTGCGTCGGTCACGCGGCTGGGAAAAACAAGCGCCTCCCATGACAACTGCTTCCCCAGCATCTTCCCCGAAGCATCACAATTCTGTGAACTGAAAAAATACACACTGACACTGTCACAAGCCGTGCACGCGAACATTACCTGGAAGCTAAAACACACACGGCTTGATTCACATGTGGAATACCTGGAGGCCACTTGCTAAATACGCATGTTGAGGATCACCGCGCTTGGCCAAACAATGGCCCAGAGCTGGAAAAACATGTGGCCACGTGTGTATCCAGCTCTCACCCAGGCGGGCTATGTCATGTGTATCCAGCCTTCATGATACGTAAAAATAAGATACCCCCAAGCGCGTGTGGCAGCATCCAAGTCCTGACACCAAGCGTGTGCGGCGGCAACCGGCAACCGACGCCGCGGGAGAAAAAAACAAAGGAAGAGCGGTGCAGAGGAAGAGCGGACCCAAGCTCGGAAACGTGCACAAGAACCAGAGGTTCGACCAGGGCGGCAGCACAAAGGTCCCACATGAGCAGGAGGCAAAGGATTACAAGTACATTCGATATGAGAAGATGAACCACGGCGCCCACCACCACACTGGACCGAGACCTGCCGTGGATGGGTACATCGTGGCTGGGGGCGCACACCTTTTGGACGTTCGATCGGGAAAACGACGAAGAGGCGAGAGGGGCCAGACGGGACGCGAATAGTGCCGACTGCCTACTGTACACGCAGCCTGCGCCAGGCCTACGAGGAACAGCATGGATGATGAGCTGAAGGAAGGCACCAAGGATTCACCAGACTGGTGAATGATACGCCAGACTGGTGGGTGATGGCAAAGGAAGTGCAATGCATGGAATTTCTCGGAGACGACGCCCAGGACGGTGCAGCGGACTGCCACGTCCGCGAGCAGCCACGGGAAGCCGGCGCGCCGCAGCGCACACTCGTCCTGCGTGCACAGCCCACGGCGGCCGCGCTCGATCGCCAGAGCAGAGGCGCTAGCCTGAAAAGCACGTGCGAGTAAAGTGGGCGCCGCCGTCGCTTGAGGCGCCGCGGCCGTCGGCTCTCTGAAGAGAGCGCCACAGACGGGAGAGCGTATAATGCAGCATCAGTAGTGCGCGCTAGGCAGAGCCTGGTGCTCCTGTCTTCCTGGTCTCCAATGTGTCCCGCCTCCTCATCCTCCGATTTCTCCAATTCCTCCTCATCCTCTTCCAACTCCTCCTCTCGTCCTCCTCCTCCTCCTTTTCCTCCTCCTCCCCCTCCGCCTCCTCCTCCTCCTCCTCCTCGTCCTCCTCCTCCTCCTCCTCCCCCTCCTCCTCCTCCTCCTCATCATCATCATCCTCCTCCTCCTCATCCTCCTTCTCTCTTCCTAATACGTGGACAACTTCACACTTCTCCCTTGTCGCACCCCTACGTACACTCGTCCTCAGGCCGGGCTGGGCGTTTGGCGTGAAACTTACACTTGCAACTGACTGCGCATCATGAAGCTAAACACTTCAACGGTTGCAAGGATGCACGGCCAGTGGTTTCCATAATGCTGATCTCTCCTTAAACCATGCACATTGTTGTTGAAAGTCTACACCCTGTACGGGACGTCGCGTTAGCGCAGCGAACGCTCGACATAACAAATCCGGCATTTACACCGATGGAGGGGCGCGTTGCGAAACTTAAACTCTCGCCTTCGCACCGCGCAAAGTTGCTTTGAAAGCTTCCAGCGGTTTCAAGGATGGAGGCCAGCTCGTTTTCGGAATGCGGCTGTCGCTCAAAAACTGCTGGAAATCGACGGCCCAGAACTCCGACCTGTGCCACTGTGGCGCGGACAGAGGGCGGCTGCTTTTCAAAATGGGCCTGTCGCCTGAGACTTCCGTGCACTTTGTGACCAAAACTGTGAAAGCGTGCCACACCTCAGAAGGATAGAAGCCAGAGTCGTATCAAGCAACAGATTTACCAGCCTGGAACATGTCCCTATCCCTACGCTGGGCACCTCCTCATCACGATGCCAATATTAGGGGTTCCCTTATTCTTTGAGGGCGAGTCCCCAAGATTGTCATCGCCTTTTGGCGTGTCAGTCTTAGGGATAGGGATACGTTCGAGGCTGGTAACCTGTGGCCCGTCGCTCACCCCGAAGAAGATGGGAGGGGGGGGGGGGCGGGGGCGGGGGGGGGAGGGGCCCTCGGCGACCCTCGGCCTCTCGGGCTGGGGGGCCACTCGCCATCGCTCGGACGTCCATTCCCCGTGTTTTTGTCGGTTTCGTGCGTGGTTGTTTCGTTGTTCGAGGCCGGTAAGCAGACAGCGCCGAGCACCTCGAGCCAGAAGCACGGAGGGCGGACTCTGTGCAAAAGCGGGGCCTCTCGCCCGAGGGGCAGGCCCACCAAGAGCACTCGACGTCCAGAGGGGGGCGCACCCCGCCGTGGAAATGGATAGTTAGGAGGAGGAGGAGGAGGAGGAGGAGGAGGAGGAGGAGGAGGAGGAGGAGCAGGAGGAGGAGGAGGAGGCGGTGTAGGGACTCTCAGGGGCGGGGACTTGGGACGCGAGCGCGAGTTCCAGCATCGTTCGCGCCTCCTGGGCTCACTCTGGCGATCTTCCTCCTCGTCTACCACGGCCTCCAGAAGTCCCCCACGCCTCCTGAAGCCCTCGGAAGTCCCCCGGGCCCTTCGAGGCCCATGGACGCCCTGAGAAACCGAAAAATAATCATAAACGCTCAAAATCTCAGCACTCGCCATCAGCATCCGCATCATCATCAGCACAATCATGAGCATCATCAACACCAACAGTATCATCATCATCCGAATCAGCAGCATCATCAGAATCATAATCATAATCATCATCACCATCTACACAACCATCATCATCATCATCATCATCATCGTCATCATCAGCCTCATCATCATCTACATCATGGGCAGTAGCAGCAACATCATCAACATGATCCTCATCATCATCATCATCAGCATCATCATCATCATCATAATCATCATCATCATCATCATCATCATCATCATCATCATCATCATCATCGTCATCGTCATCGTCTTCATGATCATCAGCATCAGCATCAGCATCACCATCCTCAGCATCATCAGCATCATCTACGGTCTGACCGAATATCATCAGCATAATCACCCTCTGCATCAGCATCAGCATCATCATCATCAGCATTATCATCACCACCACAAGAACCAGAATCAGCATCACCATCATCAGCTGCAGCATCATCAGTACCATCAGCATCACCATCGTCGTCCTCGTCATCATCATCATCAGCAGCATCATCAGCAGCAGCATATTCATCATCAACATCATCACCATCATCATCAGCATCAGCATCATGAATATCATCATCATCATCAGCATCATTAGTATCATCACCACCATCGGAATCATCATCATCACCACCATCAGCATCGTCATCATCAACATCGTCATCAGCAGCATCATAATCAGCATCACCAACATCATCTGCATCGTCATCATCAGCATCATCATCCGTTCCCCCTCATCCTCCTGCCACATGCTCCCCCATCATCCTCCCTCGTCCTCCTCATCATCATCATCATCACCCGGTCCCCCTCATCATCACCACCATCGTCATCATCAGCATTATCACACGTTCCCCCTCATCCTCCTCCTCCTCCTTCTCCTCTTCATCGTCACCATCATCGTCATCAACATGCCCCTTTTCCTCCTCCTCTTCCGCCTACGCCTCCTCCTCCTCCGCATACCCCTCCTCCCCAAACCCGTCCCATCCGTCCTCATCCCGCCTCCCGCCTCCCGCCTACGCAATCTCACAGTCGTCAACATCATCAGCATCATCAGCAGTAGCACCATCACAATCAACATCATCATCAGCATCATCATCATCAGCAGCATCAGCATCATCATCATCATCATCATCATCATCATCATCATCATCATCAGCATCAGCATCATCGGCATCATCAGTATCAGCATCATCAGCATCAGCATCATCATCATCACCACCATCGTCATCATCACCGTCATCACCATCAGCATCATCGCCATAATCATCATCAGCAGCATCAGCAGCATCATCATCAGCAGCATCATCATCGACATCAACAGTATCGTAAGCATCGTCAGCAGCAACATCACCAGCATCGGCCGCATCATCACCATCATCACTATCATCATCCGCATCATCAACATCATCATCCTCAACATCATCATCCGCATCAGCATCAGCGTCAGCATCGTCAGTATCGGCATCATAATCAGCATCGTCAGCGTGAACATCATCATCCTCATCATCTTCGTCATCGCCATCATCGGTATCATCAGCATCAACATCATCATCAGCAGCATCATCAGCATCAGAATCAGCATCAGCATAAGCATCGTCAGCAACAGCACCAACATCAACATCATCAACATCATCATCACCAGCATCATCCGTGTTCCCTCACCTTCCTGTCACATGCTCTCCCATCCTTCACCTCCTCCTCCTGATCTCCTTCCTCCGCCTCCTCACAGTTATCATCGTCAGCATCCCCCTCCTCCTCCTCCTCCTCCTCCTCCTCCTCCTCCTTCACCTCATCCTCCTCTTTCTCCGCCTACTCCTCCTCCTCATCCTCCTCCGCCTACCCCTCTTCCCCAAACCTGTCTCATCCGTCCGCATCCACCTCCCCCCTGCTCCCTCCTCCCCATGCCCCCCCCCCCCCCCCCCCCGCGTCCCGCCACATCCTCCTCCCCCACATCCCGCCTACGCCGAATCATCATCGTCATCATCAGCAGCATCATCATCACCATCAGCATGAGCCGCATCATCACTATCAGCATCATCAGCAGCAGCATCATCAGCATCATCATCATCATCATAATCATCATCATCATCATCATCATCATCATCATCATCATCATCATCATCATCATCATCATCAGCATCATCATCATCAGCATCAGCATCAGCATCATCATCATCAGCATCATCATCATCAGCATCATCATCATCACCATCATCATCATCATCAGAATCATCATCATCATCATCATCAGCATCATCTGCATCATCAGCATCATCCTCATCATCATCAGCATGAGCATCATGATCATCATCATCATCATCAGCATCAGCATCTTCATCAGATTCATCATCATCATCAGCATCATCATCTGCAGCATCAACATCCTCATCATCAGCAGCATCGTCATATGCTTCGTCAGCATCATTAGTATCGTCGGCATCGGCAGCATCATCATCGACATTCGCAGCATCGGCATCAGCATCAGCAGCATCAACGTAGGCATCGTCATCCTCAGGATAACCATCTGAATAATCAGCAGCATCATCATCATCAGCAGCAACATCGTCCGAATCAACATCAGCCGCCTCATCAGTTTCATCATCCTCAGCAGCAGCGTCAGCATCATCATCAGCAGCAACATCAGCATCAGCAGCATCACCATCGACAGCAGCAGCCTCCTCACCAGCATCAGCATCATCATCAATTGCATCATCAGCAGCAGCATACTCAGCATCATAACCAGCAGCGTCATCATCCGCATCAGCGTCAGCATTAGCACCACCGTCCTCAGCAGCAACATCATCGTCAGCATCAGCATCAGCAGCATCAGCATCATCAAGAGCAGCAGCATCAATAGCATCAGCATTATCAGCATCATCATCGTCATCAATATCAGCATCGGCAACATCACCATACTGATCAGCATCATCGGCATCACCAGCAACACAACGATCATCAGTAGCATCAGCATCATCCCCGCATCAGCATCATCAACATCCTCAGCAGCAACAGCAACGTCAGCCTCATCATCAGCATCAGCATCATCGTCAGCATCATCATCATCGTCATCGCCATAGTCAGCAACCGTAACAGCACCACCTCCTCCGTCTCCTCCCTCCTCCACATCCCCATCCTCCCTCGCATCCACCTCCTCCTCCTCCTCAACATCATCATATACGGTATCCTCCTCCACCTCCTCCGACTCCTCCTCCTCCTCACCCGCATCCTCATCATCCTCCTCCTCCTCCACCTCCCCCTGCTCCTCCTCCTCATGATATGTGTCCTGCCCCTCCTGCTGATGCTACGTGTGTTCCTCCGCCTCCTCGTCCTGCTCTTCCTCCTGCTCCGCATCGTCCTCCTCCACCTCCTCCTCTTCCTTCTCCTCTTCCTCCTCCTCCGCCTCCGCCTCCGCCTCCGCCTCCTCCCAATTTCCCTCCCCCATCCACCTCCTCCCCCTCTCCCTCCCGTCCCTTCCGCCCTCCTTCCCTCCCTATTCCCTTCTCCTCCTCCTCCCTCCTTCTCATCCTCCATCCTCCTCCTCCTTATCCTCTTGATCCTTTTTCCTTTCTCATCCTCCCCCTCATCCTTCTCATCCTCCGCTTCTTCCTCCCCTCCTCCGCCTCCTCCTCCTCCTCCCCCGCATCATCCTCCTCCTCCTCCTCCTCCTCCTCCTCATCTTCATCTGCGTCAGCCTTCCCCTCATTCTCCTCATCATCATCCTCCTTCTCCCCCTCCTCCTCCTCGTCCGCCTCCCCGTGCCCTGTCCTGGGGCCCCGCCCCTGGCCCCGACCATCGACTGCGCCGCAGTGTTCCTCAGCAGAGACTGGTAGCGGGAGTCGGACTGCTGTAGGTCCTCCTGTTGCGGGGGGGGGGGGGGGCTTGGGGCGGCAGAGAGGGGGAGGGGGGCGTGGGGGGGGGGGGGAGGAGCAGCAGGAGTGGAGGAGGATGAGCAGGAGGCGCAGCAGGGGTGGAGGAGGAGGATGTGGAGGAGACGGAGGAGGAGGAGAAGGAAGATGAAGAGGAGGAAAAGGAGGAACGTGGGAAGCAGGGGGAGAAGGACGGAGCGGCAGATGTGGCAGAAGAGGGGGAGGGGAGGAGGAGGAGGAGGAGAGGAGGAGGAGGAGGAGGAGGAGGAGGAGGAGGACGAGGAGCAGGAGGAGAAGGAGGGGGGGGAGGCGAAAGAGGAGGAAGAGGAGGAGGAGGAGGAGGAGGAGGAGGAGGGGGACGTGGAGGAGCGGGAGGACGACGAGGAGGATGATAACGAGGAGGAGTACGAGTACGAGGACGACGACGACGACGACGACGACGACGACGACGACGACGACGACGACTAGAGGACGATGAAGGGAGCGGAGGAACAGTTTAGAAGGGGTGGGAGAGGAGGAACAGTAGACCTCCTGCTCCTCCTCCTCCGCCTCATCCTCCTCATCATCAGCATCAGCATCAGCAGCAGCATCAGCACAAGCCCCAGCGTCATCATCAGCATCAGCATCAGCCTCATAATCATCATCATCACCATCATCATCATCATCATCATCATCATCACCACTATCATCAGAATACTCATCATCACCACCATCAGCATCAGCATCGTTATCAGTGGCAGTATAATCATCATCACCGCCACCATCATCATCAGCATCAGCAGCAGCCGCATCACCAGCATCAGCATCATCAGCCGCACCAGCCTCATCATCATCAGCATCATCATATCATAGTAGTAGTCGTTATCATCATCAGCATCATCATCAGCATCATCAGCATCGCCATCATCATCATAATCGTCATCATCAGCATCATCGCCCTCCTCATCATCATCATCATAAACACGATCATCATCATCCTCAGCCTCATCATCGGCATCCTCATCCGCATCCTCATCGTCCTCAGCACAATCATCATCAACATCCTCATCATCGTCATCATATTCAACGTCAGCATCCACATCATCATCATCATCATCATCATCATCATCATCAGCATCATCATCATCATCATCATCATCATCAGCATCATCATCATCATCATCATCATCATCATCATCATCATCATCATCGTGATCAGCATGATCATCATCATCAGCATCATCAGAACAGCCATTCTCAGCAGCAACATCATCGTCATCATCAGCAACAGCACCATCATCAGCATCAGCATCATCATCAGCAGCATCATCACCAGCAGCATCATCATCAGCATGATCATCATCGTCATCATCATCATCAGCATCATCAGCATCATCACTACCAGCACCATGCGCATCATCATCAGCAGCATCATCATCACCAGCATCATCGGCAACAGCATCAACATCAGCATACTCATGCTGATCAGAATCCTCATCATCATCGTTATAACTACCATCATCGTCATCATAAGCATGACCGTCGACATCCTCATCCCCAGCATGTTCTCAGCATTATCATCATCACCACAACTACCATCATCATCAGCATCATCATCATCATCATCATCATCATCATCAGCATCACCTTCATCACCACCACCACCATCATCATCAGCATCATCATCAGCATCATCATCACCATCATCATCAGCATCGTCATCATCGTCGTCGTCATCAACACCACCATCGACATCATCATGATCATTGGCAGCAACATCATCACCACGACCAACATCATCATCACCTCCAGCGTAAGTTCTTCTTCATCATCACCATCATCATCAGCATGATCAACATCAGCAGCAGCAGCATTTTTTTTCTCCTGCTCCTCCTGCTGCTGCTACTTATGTTCCTCAACCTCCTCGTCCTGCTCTTCCTCCTCCGCCTCTTCCTCCTCTGGTTGCTTCTCCGCTTGTTTTTTTTTCCTCCGCCTCTTGCTCCTCATTCGCCTCCTCCTGCTCCTCATCATCAGCATCAGCATGATCATCATCATCACCACCACCATGATGATGATCATCATCAGCGTCATCATCATCATCATCATCATCATCATCATCATCATCATCATCATCATCATCATCATTGTAATCAAAGTCGTCATCATTACCTCAATCAACATCATCATCATCAGCAACAACATCATCGTAGTCATGATCATCATCATCCTCAGCATCGTAATAATTATGATCGTGATCATGATCATCATCACCATCATCATAAATCTTCATCATCATCATCATCATCATCATCATCATCATCATCATCATCACTTGGGCAGCAGCTCCAGCTCACACAGGGGTGGGCACAAGCGAGTCGCCTGTCGCAGCGTCTCGGTATGTCATTGCGCCGCTGTACGTGTACAGCACTCAGCTGTCGACAAAGTGCACAAGATAGCTTGCAATCGGAAAGAACGGAGAGCTGGCAGGTGGGGGGATCCTGCCGACACGGTCGCCCGTCGACCAGGCAAGGGGACTCGGGCCAGCCCCTGTAGCCAAGCTCGAGCACCCAGGGCACGGCCCTTAAACTTAAGCCACCATGATTTTGCCCAACATGGCTTGAGCCAAAATGGCTACGGACCTCCTCCTCCTCCTCCTCCTCGGCCGCCTCCTCCTCCACCTCCTCTCCTCTCTTCGAAATTTTCGCCAGGATGCCTCATCCTTATGCCGGCACGAATCGCCAGCCTTCGGAGCCACGACCCGACCTCGGAGGTGGGGCCTCCAACCAAGCGCTCCGCTGTGGGAGGCCAGTGCTGCTGGGCCACACCGACAGCACGGGGTCACGCGCTCGACCATAGGCCCCTCGTTCAGAATAACCCACAAATCGCATAAGCAGAAACTATCGAACTTCAGCGCGGATTTCTCGGATCGGCGCTGGACCCACCTCCCTTGCGCGCGGAGCGCGCCAAGGGCGGCGCGAGAGGCGCCTCCTGGAGCATATCCAGCGCAGATCCCAGAATCCGCGCGGAACTCCGACATTCCATGCTTACGCACTGATGCAAGTGTCTCTTTCTCGATGCCCCGCTGGCAGATGAGGTCGGAGGATGGCGCCGCATCGCCGATGCATCAGCGATGCGTCGGTGATGCATCGGCGATATCGGCCGTGCCTCGGCGACGTCGGGGCCCACAAGATCGGGCTCCACATCGAGCCGCATCGGCGATGCCTCGGCGGCGCGGCGCCTGGGCCACACCGAGAGTGCTGAGCCGCGCGCTCGGCAACTGGGCCTCGTGTTGTCTTCGGGAGGAGGAGGAGGAGGAGGAGGAGGAGGAGGAGGAGGAGGAGGAGGGCGGAGGCAACTGGGCCTCGTGTTGTCTTCGGCGGCCTGCGGCGGCCCTCCCTCCGCAGCCTCTGCGGCGGTCTCCAGCGCTCCTTGGCGCTCGTCGGCGGCCACCTTCGCGAGAGGCCGGACGCTTGCGCTCAACAAGGGGGCCCACGATCGAGCACCTGACACAAATCGTGGACGGCAAATACAGGGAAACGAGCTCTATATATACACCGACGCTTTTGCGGGCCCTGCACTGAAACCTGCACAGGAAAGCGGATCCTGGTGTATACGGGATCCTGGTGTATACATGTTTCGTTGTTACCCCGGGAAAACGAAGGAAGAAGTACACACAACACCACCCCGAGGTCGTCTCCGACTCGTCCCCGACCAACAAAAAGTCCTGGGATTGAAAAAGAGCCAGGCACTGGTAATGTAGGTGCTCGAGTTTCCGAAAACGTGTCCATATCCACAGCATCGCAGGCCAGGCCCCCGGCCCGCGAGCCCATGGATGCTGCGAGTTTTTCCACGGATGCCTCGCGTATTCACGGGATCGTGCCCCAGAATCCAGACCGCCAGGGCATGGAGATGGGCACGGCAGGGTCGTGTTGTGCCGACCTCGGCGCTGGTTTCTGACACCGCAGGGATCGCTCGACCATGCACGAGCGGCCGTTTCCGAAGCGTCGGATCGCCCAAGATCAACCGATTCTGCGTCGCCGGCGGCCGCCGGCGGCGTTCGACGCTGAACGCCGGCGGCGGGGTCGCCGCTGGTCGACACGACGCGAGCCTGCCATCTGTCGGGAGCGGCCAAGAGGGGGGTGTCCAAGAGGGGGGGGTGCAAATCATGACTGGCGGCATGTGCGCGGCCCAGCGGGGGGGCCAGGGACGTAATGAAACAAGAAGAGGCGCCATGAAATCTGAGGAAAAATCATGGCCCGCGCCATGAAATCTGCCCCCCCCTAGTCATCACCCCCCTCTTTGCCGCCCCCGAATCTGCTCGCCGCTCGCGAAAACAGCAGAAAGCCTCCGGGCACCCCGCGGCGGTCCGCCTCTGCGCTCTGCCCGCGCCGGGCGGCCACCCCGCGCTGCCGCCGAGCCCGGCCGCGCCCCTGCGGCCCTTGGCCTTGGCTGCCCCGCGTGCACCGTGGGGCCCCAGAATGAAGGGGCCCCAGGACACACAGATAAATACACACGATTCCAAGGATTCCCCATATTTTCCTACATTTTCTGGATTTCTGTCTTCCCCCCCCACTTCCCATATTTTCCTATATTTTCCTGGGAGTCGAGGACGAATTGTGTCTGTGTGTTTCTTTCCCTCCTGACAGAAGACCTGCGCCCGCGGAGGTCCCCAGAGGCTCCCGACTCGCCCCAGCGCGGCCCCGACCACAGCCCAGCAGCGAGGCCAGGATCGATGAGTGGCGACATCCGAACCCTACAGTCGTGGCGTTGACCTAAGGAACCCTAAATAGGGAACGAGGCCCCTCTTTTCCACAAGTTAACCTTCGATTTCTTGTCGAAGAAAACAGAAGGGAAGCCTGAGGCAAGCTGTGAAACACTTAAGGAACGCGGAGCCCCTCCACAACGAAAAGGGTTCCTTCTTCAGGGCCCCGACTGTACCCTCACGGACCATCGGTTCTCCTGAATCGACAGGAGGCGGGGTAGGGCTCGGGCTTCGCAACGCGTTCGGCGAATTCCGACTCCTCCCGCCGCCCACGGAGTCGCCCGAGTCGGTGATCGGCGAGAGCAGGGTTCGGATTTCGCCGCCGACTCGAGGACCCAGGCGTTTCGGCCATGCTAGGCTTTCTTCGGCGTTTTTTGCCGCCTCTCTGGGATGAGGAAGAAGACGGATGCGGACCACATGCTTCCACAGCTGGTGCCAAGACGCGGATACCGCCTCACGACGAGCATGGGGAAACCAGAAGGTACCCATACCCCTACTCCCCAGACCTCTCCCAGGGTGCGTTCTGACCAGAACGTCAAGGCGAATCCGGCGGTGGCGACGAGGGCCTCCGCGGAGGCCCCAGAAAAGGGAAAACGGAGCGAGGGGTAGCAGTATAGGCACCTGTTCCCCCTCCGAATGGAAGCGCAAATACCCCGTGATGAGGCCAGGGGGGCACGGCACGAGTGAGAAAAGAGCGGTGGCACTGGTGAGCGTTTTCTTATTCGGCGTTTCGACACTGGCTCCGGACCTCTGCTTAGTGCGACTGTTTGCGCCAGTGCGTCCCATGGGGGAGACTCCACCCGCTTGAAACAGGCGCCAAAAACAGGCAAGATCTACTCCACGCGGGGGAAGGGGGGTGCGAGGGCCCGCGCCGATCGGCAAAACAATTAATATGAAGGGGCCCAAGGACACACAAATAAATACACACAAATAACAGGATTCCCCATACTTTCCCATATTTTCTGGGATTCTGTCTTCCCCCCCACTTCCCATATTTTCCCATGTTTTCCTGGGAGTCGACGATTAATGGTGTCTGTGTGTTTTTCCCCTCCTGGAAAACAATGAATCGCAAAACAATCACCTGCCTGCCGCGAGGCGCGGGGGGCGCACCGCCCTGGAGGCTCAGCACCGCCTGCCTGCGCTCCGAAGGCCAGGCCTGGTCTCGGAGTGCGGGCACCGCACGGCCCGCCGAACCCGGTCATCCAACGCTGTTGGTAATAGTATATATATATTTATATATATATATATATATATATATAAATCTATTTAAAACACGAGAAAAAAAAAAAAAAAAAAAAAAAAAAAAAAAAAAAAAAAAAAAAAAAAAAAAAAAAAAAAAAAAAAAAAAAAAAAGGTAGAGCTGCTCCAATATGATAGGGCGTCGCTACAAGCCTCCAGTGGAGGTACTCTTTGGACGCCCGAAATGGGCACGGAAAAAATGGGTACAATGCCCAACACAAAATGTTGTCCCAAACAAACAACGGCCGCTGTTGAGCAGGCGGCCTCCTGTCTCAAATAGACACAGGCCGCGGCGGCGCCCACAGCGAATCCTGTTCAAAATGAACAGGAACTGCTGTTGGGCGTTGTACCCATCCGTGCTCATCTCGTTCGTGCAGATACTCTTCTTTTCCCACCCGCCGCGAACTTGCCGGACGGTTCGCTCGCTCTGCCGGGAGAGCGGCCCGAACGCCCCGGAAGCGGTGCCCGGGGGAGCCCGCCTGTGCATGAACGGGGCCAAGAGGGGAGAAGGAGCGGAGGAACTTCTTGCGTCGGCGGCCAGGCGGAGGGTGACTGCGCTGGCGATGAGAGGCTTCAACGGGGACGCCGTTGGAGCGAGCTGTGCCACCAGGTAAAAGGAGGAGCGAGGGAGGAGGGAGCGGAGGAGCAGGAGAGTGCCCTGGCAAGTGAAAGCGGCAAGCGGAGGGCTCTAGAGGAGGAGAGAACGCGTTTCACGGGCGCTTGCCTGGGGAAGATTCGGCGGCGCGTTTTGAACCGGGGGGGAGGGGCCCCCCAGCACTCGGCGCCGTCGATCAAAACCAGGGCGACTCCCATCCCCCCCAAACCCCCCCACCCTCCCAATGGGGGGGGGTCAAAAGCCCCCGCCAGCAGCGCCGACGGCGGGGACGCAGCGAAGATGACCAGAGGCAGCGCAAGGGGTGGGGGGGTTCAAACCCCCCCACCGAGCGCCGGGGGGGGGGAGGGTTTCAACCCCCCCCCCCACCCCACACCTGGCGCCCGCGCCGGCGCTGGCGGCGGCCAGCAGCGCCGGCGCTGGTGCCGGCGACGGCGGGGACGCAGCGACGATCATCACCACTACCACCACCGCCACCACTACCACCACCACCACCACCACCGCCTCAACCCACCAACCCACCACCACCACCAAACCACCACACAACCACCACCACCACCACCGAACCACCCCACCACAGCCACCACCACCACCACCATAACCACTACCACAACTCACAATCACCACCACCACCACCACCACACAAACCCACCACCACAACCACCACCACCACCACAGTCTACCACACCACCACCACCGCCACAACCACCACCACCACTACCAGCAGCACAACCCACCGCCATCACCACAAACCACCACACCACCACCACCACCAAACCACCGCCGCCACCACCACCACCACCAGCACCACCTCCACAAACCACCGCCACCACCACAACCCACAAAACCACCACCACCACCACCACAAACCACCACCACACAACAACAACCACCACCACCGCAACTCACCATCACCACCACCACCACCACAAACCCCACCACCACTACCACCACCACCAGTCTACCACACCACCACCACCACCGCCACAACCACCACCACTACCAGCAGCACAACCCACCACCACAACAACAACAACAACAACAACAACAACAACAACAACAACAACAACAAACAACAACCACACCACCACCACCACCACCACCCGCCACCACCACCACCGCCACCCCACAAACCACCGCCACCACCACAAACCACCACCACCACCACCACACAAACCACCACCACACCACCACCCACCACCACCACCACCACCACCCACCACAACCCACCACCACCACCAAACCACCACCATACCACCCCCAACCACCACCACCACCACCCACCACCACAACCACCACCACCACCACCACAACAAAACCACACCACCACCACCACCACCACCACCCCAACCACCACCACCACCACCAACACCACCACAACCCACCACCGCCACCACCGTCGTCCTCGTCGACGCTCCCCGCCGCCGCCGCCCGCCGCCGCAGGCGCCTGCGCCGGCCAAGAAAAGGAAATCGTCGTCCCCGCCGCCGCCGCCGCCAGCCGCCGCCGACGCAAGCGCCGGCCCGAGGAGAGGGGAAGCAGGGCAGGGGAGGAAAAGGGGGGGTGGAGTTCGAACCCCCCCCCTCTGTCACTGGAGGGGGGGGGGTTCGAACCACCCACCCCCTCCATCCAGGAGGGGGGGTGCGGTTTCACCCCCCCCCCTTCCAAGCGACCACAGAACGCGCTCTTTCTAATGGAGGTAAAAGATGACCACAGACAGAAGAGGCCCACAGGGGTGAGGGGGAGCCCGAGGACATGCTTGTCCCCTAGCCGTTCCGCACGAGACGTCATCACGATGTGCTCCGGAAATCGTGCTCTCGCCTCAGATGCTTGCTGCATGTGTTGTCTGGGCGGCCACGATCGCGTACCAATAGCACACTACGGTGCACGTGGCCGTGCTCTCAACCCTTTTCCCTATAGCCGACCTCCTCCTCCTCCTCCTCCTCCTCCTCCTCCTCCTCCTCCTCCTCCTCGACCCGCCCCTTCGCCCTCGCTGTTGCGAGGGTGCTCTTTGCTACGGCAACTGGCCCCCGGGGCCCCCCTCGCGGGGCGGGCCCCAGGGCCGTGGGAAGAGCACTGCCCGGGAGGAAACAAAACGTTCCTGCAAAAAGGGTCGGGACTTCGGGGGGCCCCACACTGTTGGAGGCCTGGAAATTGGCACCAACACCAGCACAGGGGGTTGCCTCCACATGGGGAAGATGATCCTAGATTCCGGTGTTGGTGGTAATTTTTCGGTCACCTTGGAAGCCGGAATACTACCACCATCGCCGAGATTGGGATCGACTTCCCTCGGAGGAGGCACACCGCCGATCTTGGTGCTGGTGTCAACCTCTAGGCCTGCGACACTGAAAAAGCTGGCGGCGCGCAGAGGGAGGTAGGGGGGAGGGGGGAAGGCTTCCTAGAAAGGGGCTGCTGCTTAGAAGGCGCCGGCCTTGCATGTGTAGAGAAGGCCCGTGCCTTCTAATCTGGATGCCCGAAATGGGCACGGAAAAAATGGGTGCAATGCCCAACAACAAATGTTGTCCCAAACCAACAGCGGCCGCTGTTGGGCAGGCGGCCTTCTGTCTGAAATGGACACAGGCCGCGGCGGCGCGGACAGCGAATCCTGTTCAAAATGAACAGGAACTGCTGTTGGACATTGTGCCCATTCTTTCCGTACCCATTTCGGGCGTCCCGATCTAAGAATTGGCGGCGAGCGAGGAGGGGAATCGAGAAGGAGAAGGCCTTCTCAGAAGGCGGCGGGACTTCTCAGAAGCCCTCGCGCCTTCTGAGAAGTTTTCTGTGTCTTCGCGGAAGGCTTAGAAAACTTCTCAGAAGGCCCGGGGACTTCCGAGCCTTCTGAGAAGGCCCGCCCCTTATCATTTCCCCCCCAGGCTCGCCGCCGAAAGAGGCAGGGGTGCTTCCAAGAAGCCTCCCCCCCCCTGCCCCCACCTCCCTCTGCGCGTGGCCGACCACGCCCGAAAAGGCAGGACTTCGGATGCCTGGGAACTGCCGCCTGGCCGCCTCTCGCTACCGGCGCCCCGCGCGGAGCGGCGCGCGCCTGGTTCGGGCCTGGAACACGGGCGTCGTCGTCGTCATCGCCGTCGTCGCCGCCGCCGCCGCTGCCACCGCCTGTTTCGTCGTCGTCGTCGTCGTCGTCGTCGTCGTCGTCGTCGTCGTCGTCGTCGTCGTCGTCGTCGTAGCCGCCGCCGCCGCCGCCGCCGCCACCTCCACCGCCGCCGCCGCCGCAGCGGCCGCCGCCGCCGCCGCGGCCGCCGCCGCCGCCGTCGTCGTCGTCGTGGTCGTCGTCGTCGTGGTGGTCGTGGACGTCGTCGTCGTGGTCGTCGTCGTCGTTCGTCGTCGTCGACGTCGCCGTGTCCTCTTTCTTGGCGAGCATCTCCTTCGTACTGGCCAGCTCGGCGTTCACCTTCGCCAGCTCGGCGTCCTTCTCCTCGAGCTCCTGGCGCCGTTCGAGACCACGACGTCGGCGACCACGGCGGCGGCGGCGGCGGCCGCGCCACGGCGGCGAGGGGCGTCGTCGTCGCCAGCTCGGGGGCGGAGAACAGTTCTACCAAAACGTTCATGAACATCGACAGCGGCCTCAGAGAAGCTTCGCGCAGGTGTCAGCCAAACGTACCTTGAATCGCGCCCGAAATCACAAACTAAAGCCGAGCGAGCTAGGGGGCGAAGAACAGGGAACAGCAGGAACAGGCAGAACGGAAGATCGAGGGAGGGAGGATTGCCAGGGCCCTGTGTGCGTCTATCTCGCCTTGCATGCCCTCACTATGACGATTTCCGCGTCGATCGTACACTGCACCCCTTTCTGGCTTCATTATGTTCCTGGCCGCCTTTTGAAGACAACCTACAAACCAACAAGCAAAAACAAAAAACACAAAAGGGGAGCAGGAGTGGGAACAAGAGCAGGAGGAGAAGGAAACATGAGCAGGAGAAGGAGCAGGAGAGGAGGGGGAAGTAAGGAGGGAAGAGAAGGAGGAGAAGGAGAAAGGGGAGAAACAGGAGAAAGAGAATGTGGAGGAGGAGGAGGAGGACCAGTGGAAACCCAAGAGTCATCAACGATGTTGGAATTAGCCCTCCCTCCAAGCTCCCTCTTCACAGGCCACTACAGCGGTTCATTTCCATTGAGGGGTCTGCCTCGCTGGACGACAACAGCTTGAAGGTCTTGAAGCGTGCCAAGACAAAATCTCGGGAGTTCAACGCCACAGATCAACCTGACTGCTGCCTATTGACGATCCGGAATCGTGCCAGAACGCCATTTGGGGGACTTCAACACAGCGAATCAACATAACTGTTGCGCCCGTATAATCCTGAATCCGACCAAAACACCATTTCTGATGCGTTGATCATGGGAACCCCGCGAAAATCTTGAAAACTTAAAAAGGGGAATGTGCGCGGCGCTGAGGCGAGAGCCGCATTTTGAAAACGACCCGCCCTCAGTCCGTGAAACGCTTGCCAATTTTTAAGACGAGTGTGCGCGGCGCTAAGGCGAGAGCCACATTTTGAAAACGGCCCGCCCTCAATCGGTGAAACTCTTGCCATTTGTTTAAACGAATGTGCGCGGCGCACGAGCGAGAGCCGCATTTAGAAAACCACACGCCCTCAATCCGTGAAACTCTTACAGATGTTTAAGACGAGTGTGCGCGGCGCACAGGCGAGAGCCACATTTTGAAAATCACCCGCCCTCCATCCCTGAAACTCTGGCAAATCTTTGAAACGAATGCGCGCGGCGCTAAGGCGAGAGCCGCATTTTGAAAACGACCCGCCCTCAGCCCGTGAACTCTTGCAAATGTTTATAACGAATGCGCGCGGCGCTAAGGCGATAACCACATTTCGAAGGCGACCCGCCCTCATTCTGTGAAACTGTTGCCACCTTTTAAGCTTCAGAGTCATAAATGGTGTGGAAATCTCAGGCGAAACGCCCGGCCCGCCCTGAAAACTGGCCTCGGGGTGCGACAGGGAGGAGTTATCCATAAGGAGAAGGAATGGAGGAGAAGGAGGAGGAGGAGGAGGAGCAAGAAGGAGCGAGGAGGAGCAAGGAAGAGTAGGAGGAGAAAGGCATATGGGGCTCCTCCCCACCTGCGACGCTAAGCGACCCGTAGCGCTTCAAAGCGCCCGAGGACCTCGGCCCTGGGCCCTCGATCGCCCGCGACGGCGAAGACGAAAACTGCATTACCTCTGCTGCTTGTTGCACGGTCCGCCGATGCACTGCGCAGCACGCAGGGGGGAGGGGGGGAGGCGGGTTCCCTGCATCCCCTTCCTGTCGTTTTCTGACCGGGCCGCGCCACCATGGGCGGAGGCGGGCGGGTCGCGGCTCGCTGCGCGCGAGCCGGAGGAAGAGGAGGGAGCCAACCGAAGAGTCTGGGAACAACTGGAAGGACGAAGGGAGGAGGGAGGAGGAAGAGCAAGGAGGGGGGAGGGAGGAGACGCGAGGATGGAGGAGAGAAACAGCAGGAGGAGGAGGAGAAGGAGGAGGAGGAGGAGGAGGAGAAGGAGGGGCTCGGGGGCGGTGCGGGTCCTTCGAGTTCACCAGGGCCTTCTGCTGCTCGATCATCTCGGCCGCCTGCTCGGCCGCAAGCCTGGCCTGCTCCTGGTATGCCGCTGCCGCCCAGGAGGGTGCCAACGCGCCCGAGCAGAGGGGGAGGTGCAGGAGGCACGGGCGGAGGAGGAAAGGGGAAGAGGGGGAAGGGGGGAGGGGGAAGAGGAGGAGGAGGAGGAGGAGGAGGAGGAAACGAGCTCACGTTCCACCCCATAGATAGAACGCCTGATCCAAAGCACGCGGCAAGCCCATCTGATCCAATGCTCCGTCCACCGTTCTCAAGGCGAACCTCCATGAATGCGTCCTCGGGAAGGGCCCGCAACCCACAGGTGCCTCCGATCGATGGCCCCGCGGATCTACGGGAATCCTGGCCTGGGTTCGATATGGCCCTAAACGAGGCGACAGGTGGACGGTGAGGCGAGTGTACGTAGCCGTAGTTTGGTCCACCCACACAGGGTCGACCCGCGTGATTGCTGCAGACGATGCCGTAGTCGATGATGCTACCCGACCCCATTCACGCTGGCGATCACCTTGGGCACCACACGGACACCCTGTAGCCCTGCAGCCCATAATGATATCGGACGGCATGCTGACATCGCCAGAGCAAATGCAAATCTAAACTGAGCGGCGTGAGCATTTGCACGTACTGTTGAAGTTGAGCCTGGAGCAAGCCATTGTCCTCGTTGAAGCCCATCGAGTCGTGGAAGTGGGTGCTCCACCACCCCATTTCGAACTCCCCAGTGAAGGTGCGCCGACACCAGATGGCCTGGGGCGGTGTGCACATCGAAGGAAGGGGTTGCCGTAACGGATATGTGGCTCGGGTCCAGCACCGCCACCCCTCCTGAAGTGCTGCCGAGGTATGTGGGCTCCGCTGCGCTCCATATTCCATTACATCCAAGGTCTCGAGCCTGCTTCTTCAACGATTCAAGACGCGCTCCTATAGCGAGGTTCTCTTGCACCGTCGGCACCGCACTGGGAGGCTAGGCCGCAAGATGCTCGATGAGGGGCCCATCGCTGGAAACGCTCACGCCGGTGGGCAAAGCTTTGATGTGCCCCGCTCTCGTCGTGACTCCCATGGCGACGTTCCTGGCCGTGATATTCCCGCAGCCGCAAGCACACACGTCTGGCCCTCCGGCTCCAGGAGCACCTTCTGCTGCTCGGCCAGCTTGCCGTCGCACCTGCCTGCCTCCTGCTGAAGATACACGAGCGGCTCAGGCTGGGCGTGCGCCACCTTCTCCAGCTTGTCAAGCTTCGCCTTCTCGTTGCCAAGCTTCGTCGGGAGCTGGCGCAGCTGGGCCGGAAGAGAATGCTTTACCCCCCTCTGCGCCACCAGCTCCGCGCTCTCCTTGCCCAGCTCCGTGGCCCTGGCCTCCTGTCCTTCCTTCCCGACGCACAACGCATGCAAGATCTCGAGCAGCCCGAATTTCTAAAAGAGGCGCTTATCATCAGCATCCGGAGAGGGGGGTACGACTCAGACACCAGCTCGACGTCGAGCTGCCGAGCCTTTTGCCCGGTGGAGGACCTTGAGGGAATAACTTCCCTCACGCATGCAACCACATCCCGTCCTGACACCTTCCAGCCCACGTTGATCCACGGCTCTATCGAGCGTTAAGCGCAGAAGCGGTCCATCCAATCTTCCTTGTTTTTGGACGGTGACGCCATGGTGCTGGGATGGCCCCGCAAGAGCTGTCCAGCTAGGAAATAATAGTGAACGAAAAGTTGCCGAACAGCCAAGTTGCCCTGCCTGCCACGGGTCAGAGGTATCCACGGCGTCCACGGGGGAACAAATCATATTGTAACAAAATGGCTGCGGACGGGGGTGGAGGGGGTGCAGGAGGGGGAGGAGGAGGAGGAGGAGGAGGAGGAGGAGGAGGAGGAGGAGGAGAAGGAGGAGGAGGAGGAGGAGGAGGAGGAGGAGAAGGAGGAGGAGGAGGAGGAGGGGGAGGGGGAGGAGGGGCAGGAGCAGGAGGAGAAGGAGAAGAGACGAGGCTGCTTTGTTTTAGGCCAACACTCCATCAGCCACATGTGCCACTCTCGCCCGCTCAAGGCGGATAAGTATGGGAAAACACTGACGTATGCAATCAAAGTGGGCAACATGCCGACACAGGCTTGAAAGCTGGCAAAACGTATTCACGTCAGCAGTCTGGGTAGTCGGAGCCAATCTGGCGCCAATCTGGCAGGCCCAATCTGGCAAACGGGGGCAATCTGGCGAGGGAGCCAACGCGAATCCAGTCTGGCGAATAACCCAAATCCTCCAAGATGGCCAGGCCAGATTGGCCCTTGGGGCCCAATCCGGTCTGACAGTCTGGCCTTCGACTACCCAGGCAGTGACACCAGCTGTCTTGTAAGAAGGGTGCAGGCCACGCCTTAGTCGACGCCACGGACGTTGTGTGAGACTGCCTTGTGAGGCTCGCATCTCTTCCCTAGACGATCGAGGCGACCCCCTGAGGCATTGCGGCAAATACAAACACCACTCCGATCCGAACAACCGATCAGAACGCACCTGTTTCACAGTTCTCCAGGGGCGGGCGGCCCAGGGGGTCAGAGGAGGAGGAGGACGAGGAGGAGTAGGCGGACGAGAAGGAGGAGGAGGAGGAGGAGGAGGAGGAGGAGGGGAGGAGGAGGAGGAGGAGTAGGAGGAGGAGGAGGAGGAGGAAGAGGATGGAGGAGGAGGACGAGGAGGGACGAGGAGGATGGAGGACGAGGAGGATGGAGGACGAGGAGGAGGAGAGCACAAAGCTTCCCATGCAGGGAACAAGAGCACGCTCCTCCGAGTGGCTCACCCTCGGGCGGCTCTCCCCACTCACGGGCGGTACACTGCCAGCAGGTTCCCACCCAGTGCCACTCGCACGGGGGAGGCGGGGGCGACTAATGTTTGTTGGCGGCGCGCACAAGGGGGTGGGGGGAGGGGGGGGGGCTCCTTAGAAGGAGGCTGCTTCTTAGAAGGCACCGGCCTTACATCTATAGAGAAGGCCCGCGCCTTCCAAGAAGCAGGGGTGCTTCCAAGAAGCCCTCTCCCCTCCCCCCACCCCCCTCTGCGCGTGGCTGAGTCTGCAGACACCTTGTTCGAATCGACTTCTGTTCCCGTGGACAACCTGGACCAGAGGGAACGCAGCTTGGCACCGAGGCGCCCAACCGCACGGGCAACAGCGACGCGCTCGTCAAGGCCCTCGGGCTCCTCAACGGAAGGAGAAGGATGCGAGGACGTCGCCAACTTGGCAGATTGGTCGGCCCATCCGTAGCCCTGTCTAAGATGTGTGCCCCAGTCGTTTGTAGCTTCATCCACGGCACGGTGAGCTTTGACGCTGGACACTTTTGATGCTGCGCCGGTGCCCACGGACAGCCTGTGCACCACAAGAAAACATACGGACAGCCTGTGCACCATAAGAATACATACCTGGGCAGAACGGGAGAAACACATACCACAAAAAAGACAGTCATGGCAATCAGAGAACACCTCGCACGGACAGGGCCCCGCTGGATGGAAATAGACAAGGCAACAAAAAACCCTGCGGCCTGGGGCGTAGGACCCCGACGAGGAGAAGGAGCAGGGGGGATGAGGAGAGGAGGAGGAGACGGTGGAGGAGAAAGCAGGGTGGCAACCCGCCCTGGCCAAGGTGATTTGTGCACCGCCTCCCGCCTCCTTCCACTCCTCCTCCTCCTCCGCCTCCTCCTCATAATCCTCCTCCTCGTCATCGTCATCGTCATCGCCATCACCATACGGTAAGGAACTTTTGCTCAGCGTGTCGCCACGGCGGCCCTGGCGGCATGCCCCGCGGGCCCGCAGACTCTGGGAAAGACTCGGGGACGTGGACGCTTCGGGAACGCGGAATGGATGGCGTGCCGCGCCCAGGCGCAGCGGGCCAGAACCATCGGAGAGACACGCTGTCCAAAAGTTCCCGACTGTAAGCACCATCATCTTCAGCGACAGCAGCATCATCAACATCATCATCAGCAGCAGCATCATCACCATCATCAGCACCGTCAGCATCAACATCAACATCATCAGCATCATCATCAGCATCATCAGCATCTTCAACATCATCATCATCATCAGCATCCTCATCATCATCACCATCATCATCAGCATACTCAGCATCATCATCAGCATCATCATCATCAACAGCATCAGCATCAGCATCATCAGCATCATCGTCATTAGAATCAGCATAATCGTCACCGACATCATCATCATCATCATCATCATCATCATCATCATCATCATCATCATCATCATCATCATCAGCATAATCATCATCATCACCATCATCATCATCATCATCATCGTCATCGTAATCGTCATCATCATCATCATTATCATCATCAAGATCATCATCATCAGTAGCATCAGCATCATCAGCATCATCATGATCAGCATCATCACCATCATCCTCACCGTCATCGTCATCATAATCATCATCATCATCATCATCATCATCAACATCATCAGCATCATTATCACCGTGAGCGTCGTCATCATCGGCAGCATCATCATCACCAGCAGCATCATCTACATCATCGTCATCAGCATCATCATGAGCAGCATCAGCAACGTCATCATCATCAGCATCATCATCATCATCAGCAACACCATCATCATGAGCAGCATCATCCGCATCGTCATCATCAGCATCGTCATCAAAACCATCATCACCACCATGAACAATCATCATCAGCACCCTCATCATCGTCGCCATCATCATCAGCATCATAATCAGCATCATCACCAGCATCCCCATCAGCATGATCAGCAGCAGCATCCTCAGCAGCAGCAGCGTCATCATCATCAGCATATTCAGCATCATTATCATCACCATCATCATCAGCAGCATCATCATCAGCATCATCATCAGCATCATCATCAGCATCATCATCCTCATCGCCATTAGCATCAGCTTCATCGCCATCATCGCCATCATCATCAGCATCATCATCAGCATCCTCATAACCATCAGCGCCATCATCATCGTCGTCATCAGCATCAGCAACACCATCCAGTATCATCAGCAGCATCAGCATCAGTATCATCATCATTAGCATCAGCATCAGCATCACCATCATCATCATCATCAGCATCATCATCATCATCATCATCATCATCAGCATCAGCAGCATCATCATCATCATCATCATCATCATCATCATCATTTGCATCAGCATCATCATCAGCATCAGTATCATCGTTATCATGATGATCATCAGCAGCATCAGCATCATCATCGGCAGTAGCATCGTCATCATCCTCTGCATCATCATCGTCATCGTCGGCGTCGTCGACGTCATCACCATCAGCATTATCATCATCATCAGCAGCAGCAGCATCAGCAGCAGCATCGTCATTGTCGGCGTCGTCGACGTCATCATCAACATCATCATCATCATCAGCATCATCATCATCAGCAGCAGCATTACCATCGTCATAACCATAATCATCATCATCATCAGCAGCAGCAGCAGCCTCCTCATTATCATCATTATCATCATCATCATCATCATCATCATCATCATCATCATCGTCGTCATCAGCATCCTCAGCATCGTCATCATCACCATCAGCATCATCATCAGCAGCAGGATCAGCATTATCATAATCAGCATCAACATCATCGCTATCATCATCATAATCAGCATGAGCATCATCATCAGCAGCATCATCGTCCGCATTATCATCAGCAGCATCATCATCAGCATCGTCATCTTCATCGTCATCACCAGCATCGCTATCAACACCATCAACATCACCATGAATCATAATCTCATCATCGTCGTCATCATCAGCATCAGCATCCTCATCAGCATCATTATCACCAGCATCTCTATCGTCATCACCAGCAGCAGCATCAGCATCATCAGCATCAGCATCATCAGGATCAGCATTAACATCATCATCAGCAGCATCATCAGCATCATCATCATCGGCAGCATCATCGTCATCATCACCATCATCATCATCATCACCGTCATCACCGTCATCATCGTCATTATCACAAGCATCACCCATCATCACCATCATCAAATGATACAACAGCGTCACCACCGCCACCACAATCATCATTCTCTTCATCATCGTGACCATCATCACCACCAATGCCATGATCATTTCATCATCAACACCACCACCGTGAACCTTGCCGAAGTTTTTGTGTTTGCGGTAGGGGAATTCAGCTCCGACGTATCCTTTCCGGGAGTACAGTACAACACAGGAGGGAGGAGGAGGAGGAGGAGGAGGAGGAGGAGAAGGAGAAGGAGGAGAAGGAGGAGGAGACGGAGGAGGAGGAGGAGGAGGAAGAGGAGGAGGGGGGAGAAGGGAGGAGGGAGGAGGGAGGAGGGAGATGGATTTGGAGCTGGAGTCCCAGAGCGAAGTCATACCAGTGCTTACGAAGATCGAATCTGGGCTTTACGAGGAAATTCCATATTGCAGTAAACCTTCGGACGTAAGGAGGAAGGAGGAGATAGGGAGGAGGCAGGGAGGAGGGAGAGACGGAAGGAGGGACGGAGGGGAAGGAGGAGGGAGGGCGTGAGAGAGAAGGGAGAGAGAGAGAGGGGGGGAGGGAGGGAGGAAAAGGAGAGCGGGAGGGAGGGACGGAGGGAGGGAGGGAGGGAGGCAACAGAAGGAGGGAGCAGGGAGGAGGGAGCAAACCGGGCCATCCTCGGAGTTCTTCTTCTCCGCCTCCAGCTCCTGCACCTTCTTCTGCACCTCTTCTTCGAGCTGCTTCACCCTCTGGTCCAGCTTGTCTTTCTGAGGGTGCATGATTTATTCCTCCTCCCCCTCCCCCTCCCCAATCCCCCTCCCCCCCCCTCCTCCTCCTCATCCTCCTCTTCCTCCTCATCCTCCTCCTCTTCCTTTTTTGCGTTGACCAGACATGAAGAAGAAGCTTGTTGCGCTGTCCTCCCCCTGATCCTCCTGCTCCATTTCCTCCTCCTCCTCCTCCCTCCTGTTTCTCCTCCTCCTCCTCTTCCTCCTCATCGTCCTCCTCCTCCTCCTCCTCTTCTTCCTGGTCATCCTCCTCCCTGCTTCGAGTCGCCAGAGCTCTGGGACAGGCGAACTCGCGCGGTGCTTCGCGGTCCCAGTCCGCCGCGCGGGGCGAGTGGCGGCGCCGGCCAGGCGCGCCCGCGCGCGCAGAGGCAGCGGCAGCGAAAGGGGGGCGCGCGTATTCTGCGATCCTCCTCCTCCGATCCTTCTCCTCCTCCTTGGCCCTCCTCCTCCTCCTGCTGCTGGTCCTCCTCCTCCTTCTCCTCTTCCTCCTCCTCCCCCTCCTCCTCATCACCGTAGCCATTTTGGCTCAAGCCATTTTGGCTCAAGCCTTTGCTGGGTCCAGGGTGCCCCTGGGCTGGACCAGCGTTCCGCTGTGCTTTCTTGAGCGCCTCATCCGAGGCGAACGCAGGGGTGCTCGGTCACTGGGCGCTACGGCGCTACGGGCTCCGCCCGTCCCGCTTGGTGGGTGAGTTCCTTTGCCGCGCGCCAGTCATGTCTGTGCTCTTTGCTTTCGCGCTCTTCCTGGTGGTCGACTCGAAGGTGATAGTTGAGCACAATGCATCGGCAGCGTTCGGCCAGGAGCGCCTCACCACTTCTCGTTCTCCGTCTTCATCTACGGCAGTCATTGGTGTGTTGCGGTGTCAGCGCCTTGGTGTACGTGGTCCCCGCGCTCATGTGCCTACCCGTCTCGCTTCACGCCCCCATCTTCGGCTCTCGTGGCTGGCCTTCTTGCTGTACTTCTTCGGCTTCGGGCAGGACGTGGCGCTGGACAGCGTCGCCTTCCCTGCCCCGCTTTCGCTTCCTGGGGTCGTGATGGTGGATCTGCCGCCGGGCCTGCGGGGCGCGTCAGACGCACCAGAGCTGAAGTACCTCCTCAAGAGCAAGGTGACGGACAAGATCGTGACCACCGTCGGCGTCGCGACGGTGACGACCAACAACAAGGCGCCCTTCGTGAGCTCCGCGACTTGGGCGTACCGCTGCCTGTACATCGTATTCATGTTGTTGTGCCTCAGCGGGCGGCCGCCTGGCACTCTCTTCCATGCGATGCAGGTGGCGCGACAGTTCAGGCAGTATGCAATGCAGTCGGCCGCCATATTTACCTAGACTTGTTCGACAAGGCTGTTGGAATGTTCCCATTTGTCTCACCGCCGCCTGGCGACCTCGGCGAGGCTCTTGGCCCGCCCGACAGGCTACGGTTGGACCATGGAGTTGTCGTTCCTGCTGGGTCGCGACTCTGTCTTTGGATCGGCTACCCTGAGCAACCAATCATGAGGCCAGGCGTACTTGAGTTTATGCGTGCTACCGCGGCTGGCATTGCTTCTAATTCAGGCGCCAATATTAAGCCGGGACCTGCGACTCCTCGCCCTCCCCCTGCTTGGCTCGGAGCGCGGACTGAGTCCGGTAGGGAAATAGGTGCTCGAGATCGCAGCAGGTCTCGCGCCCACATTCGCCACACCAGGTCAGTCTCTTCGCCGAGTAGCTCGCCCCCTTCCAGCGGAGGCTCGGCCTCCCATAGCGTCGGTGGCTCACTGTCGCCCAGGGAGGAGCCCAGTAGTTCCGTGAAGTCCGCCAAGGAAGGGCTGCGCCGCGCTCAAGAAGCTGTCGAGGAGGTGAAGTGTCTCCTCGGCCTGGTAAGCAAGAATCCGTGGCCCGTCCTCCTGCTGGCCCGCCGCCAACACGCCTGGTTGAGGCCCACCGCGCCAAGGAGCGCAGCAGGGCTCCTCAGACCAAGTCCCACGCAGGGGAAGCCACGTGTTCGGTGGACCACTCACTATTTTTACATAAGGCGAATTGGAGGTTCGTCTGTGAGTGGTGCAACAATCGTCCCCCGCGCGGCTCGATCACTTTCTGGTGTAAGACGTGTGAGTACACGGTTTGCGGCGACTGCTACTCACCGCCTGCGCCTCCTGAAGAAGTGTATGCTTTAGCGAAGGAGAGGGACTCAGCAGCTAGCGGCTGTGCTCCGTCGCAAAGCTCGGCCGCCCCCGCTGCCAAACGCATGCCTGCCTCGGCACGTCGGCACGTGCCACGGAGCAGGTCCCAAACAGGCTGTTGAGGCCCAACTATGATGATGTGCACCCTCCAATGTGCACGAACTGCAAGGGCAGAACCAGGCCAGGATTGTACTCGAAATCTGGCAAGTACTACTGTGCCGCTCCTTCGTGCCGCAACTTCATGCCCGAAAGATGGGTGCCGTCCTGCTTCAGGTGCCAGAAGAGCACATGGGACGGCCAGTGGCGGGATCTTGCCTCGCCAAATGCTGGCAAGGGCTTCGTGTGCAGATTTTGCTGGCTCGGGGAATGCACGGAGGCAGACCTGCCCAAGTGGCAGCGCTGGTTCACGCACCGACAGAACATGTACGGTCGTGCATTTCCCCCCAACCCCTCCGAATGGAGGCTCCAAGTTTGGCCCGCCGCATTTTAAGGCTTGGCGCGGCTCGGCGCTCCACCCTTTTGGGGTGTGTGCCCTCCTGGATATTCCAGGCCTGCCGTGCTTGCGGCGCGGGTCTCTTTTTCTTTTCTGATCCCGTCGGTGCTTGGCACTTTCGGGGGGCTCCTCTCTTTTCTGGAATATTCGCGGGCGCGGCCTGGTCGCACGTGTCGGTGCCCCTCCCCGTGGTGGTCCCTCGGGGTTCGGTGGACTTTTCGTTGTTGGCTTGGTTGGTCTTTGGCCTTTCACTGCTGCGCGATCGCGCGGTGCGTCCAGGCTTGGGTCCTGGTAACTTGTACGGAAAATTGCGTGGTCACGGGGGCCTCACCTCCTCCTCATCATCATCCTCCTCCGCATTATCCTCCTCCTCATCATCATCCTCCTCCTCTTCCACCTTCTCCTTCTCCTCCTCCCCCTCCCCCCTATTCCTTACACATGAATCTTCCCTGTCGCAACACCTGATGTGTGGTTCGGGGCTGCCTGGGCGGTTGATGGCTGGCCGCCTTGGGTGATGCGTCGGCCGTCTCGGGGGCCTTTGGGGCCGTCTTGAGGCCATCGTGGCGGGTCTTTGAGCGATCGTGGACCATCGTGGAGATCATCGCGCCAGCCGCACCGCTCTGCCTGGCCTTGCCGGGGCCCTCTTCAGTGCGCGACAGGCCAGTGGTATGCCCTCGGGTCGACTGGAGGGGTTCACCCGCCCTACTCGGGGAAAGCCCTCCCCCCCTGAGTCTGGATGGGGCGCCCCGCGATGGGTCAGAGATCTTAAGATAGCCAGAGATGGCTCCAAGAGGGCTCTAGAGAACCCAATGCGATTTCCAAGATGGCTCGAGGCATCCCACAATGGCTCAAGATGGCTTCCGACCTGCTCCAAAAGGTCTCAAGACGGCCTCAAGACGGCTCTAAGTGGCCACGGAGCTCCCCGAAGAGGCCCCCACAAGGCAAACGTCAATTCAAAACCTACGGACAACATATGAGTTGTACATTCTCGCCTTTTCGCTTCCGACGGGCTTCGAAGGCTTCAAGATGGCTGCAAGATGGCCCAAGGGGGCTCAACGAGAGGCCCAAGATGGCCCAAGACGGCGCCAAGAGCGCCCAAGAGCGACCCGAGAGCGCCCCAAGACGGCTCCAAGAGGCGACTCTGAGGTCTCTAGAGAAGCGAGGCTAACTAAGCACGCCCCCCTTTTTGAGCCATGGGGGCAAAGATCGCCCCAAGAAGGCCCCAAGAACCCCGGAACAGCCCCAAGAGGGCCCCGAGACAGTCCCAAAAGGACCCCAAGAGGGCCCTAGGAGGACCCCACGATAGCCCCAAGAATCTCCCAAGGGGCTCTCAGAATAAGAAATCCGCGAAGGCCTTCTCCGAGTCCTCGGTCTCATACTCCCCCTCCTCCATCCCTTCCCCTTATAAATAATAAATCATTCCCCCTGTCGTACAGACGTGTCCGTTGGGCGGGCAAGGCGGTGCGCCTGAGACTTCCTCGCCATGTGTGATCCTGAAGCCTGATATCTGCAACAGCTTAATGGATGAAGGGCAGGCGGTTTTCAAAGTGTGGTTCTCGCCTTAGCGTCGTGCACATTCGCCGTAAAAGTTCGCACCAGTTTCACTGGTGGAGAGAGGGCCACTTTCAAAATGAGGCTCTCGCCTCAGCGCCGCGCATATTCGCCTTCAAACGTTGCTACAGCTTTACGAATGGATGGTGGGTCATGTTCAACATGTTGTTCTTGCCTCAGCACGGCGCACATTCATCTGAACGGTTGACAACAGTTTCAAGGGCTCGTAGGGCTGAAGTCCTAGGAACGGGTTCCTGGCACGATTTTAGATGGTGAGGACACAACAGTCACGTTGATTCACGGTAGTAAGCTCCCAGGCACGAATTTCTCACACGACTCAGGATTGTCAGGACGCAACAGTCATGCTAATTCGCGGCGTTGAAGTCACAGGGAGGTCCCTAGGCAAGATTGGGGACTCGCAGACGATTGCCTTTCAATCTGGCACGGCCCGGAGTGGAAATAAATTCTTGTGGGTACCTGTGAAGAGGGAACTTGGAGGGAGCATTTATTGCAACATCGCTGATGCGTCTTTGGGTTGCACTGGTCTCCCTGCTCCTCCTCATCATCATCATCATCATCATCACAATCATCTTAATCATCCTCTTCCTCCTTCCCATCATCATCATCATCATCATCATCATCATCATCATCATCATCATCATCATCATCATCATCATCATCATCAGCAGCAGCAGCAGCAGCAGCAGCAGCATCAGCATCAGCATCAGCATCATCAGCATCATCAGCATCGTCAGCATCAGCATCAGCATCAGCATCAGCGTCAGTCTCATGCTCCTCCTCATCCTCCCGGTCCCCGTCTTACTCCTGCTCCTCCTCGCCATCCTCCTCGTCCTCCTGCCTTCCATCAACCTCCGCACCCAAGCAACTCTCCCGGGCGTCGGCCGTGGACGAGCAGGCCGGCATACGCGAAGGCGTCAAACGTGTGACCCAAAAGCCCGTTCCTGCTCTTGGGGCCCCCTCCCTCAGGGCCCAATCTTCAGATCCCCAGGGAGAGAGCGGACAGCACGGCGCCGACCATGACCAAGAAAAAACGTAGTCAAAATCCCAAAATCGCGGATTTACCGAGGACTCGAACATCGGCCAAAGATTTCGGGGTATGGCCTGCGCTCCCTGGTAAAACCCTGCCACGAAATCTCCCTCCCCGAAGTCTCGAGGACCCTGTGTCTCGTTTTGGCCCTCGCGTTTTCAGGACTGCGCGTCTGTTTTGAGCTGGCGCCGACCAAGCTCAGAGAGGTGGGCGCGGGGGGGCAGAACTGCTCGGGAGCCTGCCCCTGCCAGAGCAGCCGCACCTCGCCAAGCGCAAAAATGCTCCAGGCCTCGGTTCGCCTGGCCTCTCGGGTGCTGGCGGGGCGGAGGGCGAGCGCACGTCGGCCAAGCGCGGGAGCGGCCCTGGACAAAAGAGACCTTTGGTGCGCGGCTTGCCGATCGTTGCGTGCCATGCGGCAGTAGCGGCCTGCATGCTTTGATGTGCCCAATCCCCCCCCCACCCACTCACCACCCCCCTCCCCCGCCCCACCCCCCGCGCTCCCCAGAAGCTCCGAACCAAAGTCACGTGTGGCCGAGCAGAGCGCCTCTTGGTATAGGTCAGCATTGAAGCACTGCCCCCTCGCTCCGACAAAACGCACATCAGCGCCCCTGCCTGCAGTCCCAGCCATCGCCATGTTCGAACAATGCTGCAAAGCATGTCATGGTGAATTCCCAGCCCCGAAGTCATTCGGCTGACAAGCTTCAAGCCAAGGTACACGATTCCACCATGTACCCGTCTTTACGTATATGTGTACATAGAGAAGGAAAGCAAGGGGAGAGAGGACAGAGTCATGGACAGAGAGTGAAGGGGAGAAAGAGAGAGAGTTCGGGATGGGACATTGGCATTGTATATATGCATGTGTACAAATATGGGTAAGTCTGTGGATATATATCTATATATATATATAGATGGGAAGAGAGGGAGGGAGAAAGAGAGAGAGAGAGAGGGAGAGGGAGGGAGGGAGGGGGGGGAACGGGAGAGGGAGAGGGAGAGTGAGAGGGAGAGCGAGGGAGGGAGAGAGAGAGAGAGAGAGGGAGAGAGAGTCACACAGACGAAGTCCTCTGGAACTTTGTTTTTT